TCTTCAGCTCAAGGCTAGCACTCTACCACTTGAGCCACAGCGCCACTTCCAGCTTTTTTCTTTTTGCTTATGTGGTGCTGAGGAATCGAACCCAAGGCCTCATGCGTGCAAGGCAAGCGCTCTACCACTGAGCCACCTTCCCAGCCCACACGTTTTCCTTTTATACAAAGAGAGAGAGAGAGAGAGAGAAACAATCCACAACTACACAAATACAGTTCATCAAACTAACTAACAATTTTCCCAGGCATCACAATGTTGAACTTCTAAGATTACTCTAGTGATAATTTCACCTTTATTGTTTTTTTTTGTCGGTCTTGGGGCCTGAACTCTGGGCCTGGGCATTGTCCCTCAGCTCTTCAGCTCAAGGCTAGCGCTCTACCGCTTGAGCCACAGCGCCACTTCCAGCTTTTTCTGCTTATGTGGTGCTGAGGAATCGAACCCAGGGCCTCATGCATGCAAGGCAAACACTCTACCACCAAGCCATCTTCCCAGCCTACTGTTGTTAATAATTCAACCATCATTGTTATCACTTGAAAACACCTCAAGCCTAAATGGTTAACTTTGTAGAACATAGGGTGCTACCTCAAACCCAGAAACCCTAAGGATCAACATGTTCTCAAGGACAGGTGTGGCCTGTGTATTTTCCAGGAGTTGTGATACCTGATTCTGTACTTGCTTAATATTGGGGTTGAGTTATAACTTGTTAGCCTTAGGGTATATGATGAAGGAACCAGGATCTTTAACAGCGTTTTTTTTTTTTTTTGCTGAGAAGGTAGGCTTTTAATATATTCAATGGCTTCATATTTACTTCACCATGTGAAGCTCCAGCACATTATCTTCCTCTTTCCAGCAGAAGGACTGAGGCAATAATCACTGGATACCTCAGCTCAAGACACAGCAGGGGTCTAGAAGTCAAAGAAAAAGGAAGAATCCTTCTGTACACAAATTTTTTCTGGACACAGGAATTGGATTCAACTTTTATTTGTATGCAGGGGCAGGGGGAGAGGGGATAGTGGGGTTTGAATGAATGGAGGCTGAGGGTCTGACACTGTCCCTGAACTTTTTTGGAGGCTGTACTGGGGCATGAACTGAGGGCATAGGTTGCTGTTTCTGATCTTTTGCTCAAGGTTGATGCTCTACCAAATGAGCCACAGCTCCACTATCAGGCTTTTGGTTTTTGTTTTGTTTTTGGTCTTAGGGCTTGAACTCTGAGCTTGGGCACTGTTCCTGAGCTCTTCAGCTCACGGCTAGTGCTCTACCACTTGAGCCACAGCACTTCTTCCAGTTTTCTGAGTGGTTTATTGGAGATGAGAGTTTCAAGGCCTTTCCTGCCTGAGGTTGGCTTTGAACCGTGACCCTCAGATCTCATCCTCCTGAGTAGCTAGGATTACAGGCCTGAGCCACTACGCCCAGCTTTGGTGGTTGTTGTTGTTGTTATTATTTTCCTGTCCTGGAGGCGCAGGGAAAAAAGAGAGAAGCGTCCACCTGGCAGGGACACGCCTCATTAGAGGCACTGAGGTAAACAGGGGAACACATATTCAAAACGTTCCCCAAGTTCGCAGCTGGACGCTGGGAGATCAGGGGATAAGCAACAGGATGTGGACACTCCCTCACAATTTCCGTCTCGGAGAACAGAGAGAACAGACCAGAAGGTACAAAGGGTGAAGGAACAGTTCCAGAGCCGCGGAGGGAGTGGCCCACCACCTGGGTCCCGCGGCCCTGCTTTCCCAGGAGGGAAGTCCCAGCGCTCGGTCCCGGGAAAGGCCGGGCGTCTGGCTTTACCTGGAGACGCGCTGCGGGGGCGCCCTCGTCCCCCACAGCCACACCTGCAACCCCAGCCTGCCGGGGTGGAGTCTGGGGGGCGAGGGGAGTGCTTTCCACAGCACTGGAGCAGGAATGGACGGTCGTAGTCAGGGGATCAATGACACTAGATCAGGGCAGGTGTGAAACTCCCGCACCAGCCCTGGAAAAAAATTCCTGCGAAGCACAGGAGCGAAAACAAATCAAGGCGATAAAAGAACCCCCAAACCGCGGCTTTCAGACCCAGAGGCACCCACCTCTGCCCTCCGATGGCCATTCGGGGTCCAAGGTCGAGGAAACCCCGTTTTCCACCCGCTCCGCCCCCCGCTTCCCTCCCTCCCTCCTTCACTCCCTCCCTCCGCCTCCGCCCTGCTCGCGGCGAGCTAGGGAACCCGTGCATAACAACCGTTTTCCCCGCCAGGAGCACACAGTGTCCACGCGCCCCGGCGGCGTCGCCGATTGGTGCGCCTCCTGGTAAACAAGGACCAGGCAGCCAATGGGAGCGCTGTGCACGCGGGCAGCACGAGCCTCGGGCCCTGAGCTCGCGTGGCTCAGCCGGCCGGGCGACTATAAAAGGCAGTTTCCGGCTGCCGGCTGGAAACATTCGCTCTGCTGTTCGCAGCTGCCTGTTCTTCCTGTGCTCTCTCCGACTTCCCCCGGAGTTGGGGGCGAACCGGAGTAGAGAAGGGGCTGAGTGGAGGCTTGGGGCTTCTTCTTGGAAGCCGTTGGTCTAAGCCAAGCGGCTTAGGGTCTCCGACTCCTTGGGGTCTTGTTGGCGCCTTGTCAGCAGAAGCCCCTTCGCATCTGCCTCATTCCTGGTAAAAAGTTACCGGGGTTGCAGATCGGATATATATATATTTTGTCTTCTTCCCCCGGCTCTGACCCGAACATGGTGATGTTCAAGAAGATCAAGTCGTTCGAGGTGGTCTTCAACGACCCCGAGAAGGTGTACGGCAGCGGGGAGAAGGTGGCGGGCCGAGTGGTGGTGGAGGTGTGCGAGGTGACGCGCGTGAAGGCCGTCCGCATCCTGGCGTGCGGCGTGGCCAGGGTGCTGTGGATGCAGGGCTCGCAGCAGTGCAAGCAGTCCCTGGATTACCTGCGCTTCGAGGACACGCTGCTCCCCGAGGACCAGCCCACAGGTGGGTGCCGGGCCGCGGCGACTCGTCCGGGGGCGGGGGTGGGGTGGGGTGGGGCTTGGGAAGTGCTTGACTAAGTGCTTTAGATGGTGCCTCAGTGGTTTCGTGGGATGCTTCCTATTTTTTAAAAATTGTATTTTAAATTGTACTTAAATTGTAATTTAATCTTCTTATCCTGCCAAAAAAAAAAGAGGGGGGGAGATGCAGTTTTTTTTTTTTCTGTGTTCCCAGAGCGATCTCAAGGCAGGGGATGGCTTTACTTAGCCTTTTTTTTTCTTGTGGGTTCTGAGACTTGAACTCAGGGCCCAGGCGCTCTCCCTTAGCTTTCTTTTTTCTTTTTGCTCAAGGGTGGAGCTCGAACCCTTGAGCCACAGCCCCATTCTTGGATTTTGGGTGGTCAGTTGGAGATAAGAGTCTCATAGACTTTGCTGTCCCAAGCTGGCTTAGAACCCTGATCCTCACTCAAATCTAAATCTACACAGTAGCTAGGATTGCAAACTAAAGATTTCTGTATGCTTATGTTGCTTTATATATTATTAGTATCTAATTGGGAGGCAGTGAGGGTAGGGGTGACATTGTCCAAAAAGAAAGTGTGCCTGAATTTTGTAACTGTAACCTCTCTGTATATCTTTTCTTTTTTTTTTTTGGTCGGTTGTGGGAAACTCTACCACTTGAGCCACAGCACCACTTTGGGTTTTCTGAGTGGTTTACTGGAGTCTCACAGAAACAGGCTGAGTAGCTTAAGTCTATAATCCTAGCTACTCTGGAACCGGAGATCTGAGGATCACAGTTCAAATCTAGCCCCAGGCAGGAAAGGCCATGAGATCTTATCTCCAATAAACCACTCAGAAAACTGAAATAGCACTGGAGCGACACCCAAGCCCAGAGTTCAAGCCCCAGGACCGACAATAATAAAAAATCAGACTTTAATGCCACCAATACTTGGCTTATATATCATTTTTATAATACCAGTTTTACACTGTTGGCTCATGACTAATCCTCAGTACTCAGTTAGTTGAGATCTGAGGATCTTACATCTCTAATAGACTATTCAGAAACAGCCAGAAGTGGCGCTGTAACTCCATTGGTAGCTTAGAGCAAAAGAATCGCAGGGACAGCACCCAGTTCCACAGTTCAAGCTCCAGAACGGTGGGGGGCTGGGGAGAAGATTATTAGTATTATTAGTTCCTGGAGTAACTGTACTAGATCAGCCTTTCAATATTGAAGGGTTTTGGAACTTTCTGATTCCCCCCCCCCAAAAAAAAGTACCAGAATGTTTTTCTTTTGCTACATATGCAATTAGCCTCACACAGATGCATCCAGAAACCTAACACTCATTGTCTTTCTGTCTCATCAGGTGAAAATGAAATGGTGATCATGAGACCTGGAAACAAATATGAGTACAAGTTCGGCTTTGAGCTTCCTGAAGGGTAGGTACTCGTAGAGTAACATACATCTTTGGACTCTTCTAGCTTGCTCAGTCTTCTCCCTAACAATACTTAGAGACTAAACTATTATTATTATTTGACAGGCCTCTGGGAACTTCTTTCAAAGGAAAATATGGTTGTGTGGACTACTGGGTGAAAGCTTTCCTCGATCGCCCCAGCCAGCCCACTCAAGAGACAAAGAAAAACTTTGAAGTAATGGATCTGGTGGATGTCAATACTCCTGATTTAATGGTGAGGTTTCTCTCAGGATTCTAGTCTCCTTAGTCTCAGAATGTCTAAATTAGATGTCTTGGGCATGGGACTGGAACATCTCAAAACATCTTTTTTTCCCCTTTTCATAGGCACCGGTTTCTGCTAAGAAGGAGAAGAGAGTTTCCTGCATGTTCATTCCCGATGGGCGGGTGTCCGTCTCTGCCCGAATTGACCGAAAAGGATTCTGTGAAGGTGAGGACTTAGTGCTTGAAATTCTAGATGGGAGACAGGTAACAGTAACCATGTAGATTCTATTAGTTCATGTGTGTTCATCTTTCTTATTGCTAGGAGATGACATTTCCATCCATGCTGACTTTGAGAATACGTGTTCTCGAATCGTGGTCCCCAAAGCAGCCATTGTGGCCCGCCACACTTACCTGGCCAACGGCCAGACCAAGGTGCTGACCCAGAAGCTGTCTTCAGTCAGAGGCAATCATATCATCTCAGGGACTTGTGCCTCATGGCGTGGCAAGAGCCTCCGGGTACAAAAAATCAGGCCATCCATCCTAGGCTGCAACATCCTGCGAGTCGAGTACTCATTGCTGGTGAGTCAGTGGGGTCCGTGCCAGCAGAGAAATGACTAGAAACTGTTCATCTGCTAGAACACAGTGGTGTGCTTCCCAGAGCTCTCCTCTCAACAACTGCCCTCTTGCTTCTTTTCAGATCTATGTCAGTGTCCCTGGCTCCAAGAAAGTCATCCTCGACCTGCCCTTGGTGATTGGCAGCAGATCAGGCCTAAGCAGCCGGACAACAAGCATGGCCAGCCGAACCAGCTCGGAAATGAGCTGGATAGACCTGAACATCCCTGATACCCCAGAAGGTGAGGCAGCCCTCAAGTCCTTCCTACTCTGGCCTGGTGAGAATGTGGTGGTCTGGCATTTCTTGGCTAGGTGTCTGACTCTGGATTTTCTCTCTGTAGCTCCTCCTTGCTATATGGATATCATTCCTGAAGATCACCGATTGGAAAGCCCCACCACTCCTCTCCTGGATGACGGGGAGGACTCTCAGGATAGCCCCATCTTCATGTATGCTCCCGAGTTCCAGTTCATGCCGCCACCCACATACACTGAGGTAGGAATTGTCATTTTTTGTTTTACTGGTAGCATTTGTCCTAAACCTTCCTATAGGAAGGCTTGAGGTGGAGGGTAGGATGACAGGCAGGTGCCACGAGCACCCAGCATTGCTCCAGTTTTCAAAATCCGTGGTTTTTCTTCCTCCCAGGTGGACCCATGCCTCAACAACAACAACAACGTGCAGTGAGCAGACAGAAGAAAAGCAGCAGCTGTCTCTACTTGTTTCTTACCGCCTCTCTTCCTTGGACTCTCAACATTCATAGAGACTTTCCAGTGGCGTGTGGGTTACCCCCAACCTCTGCCTCTCCAGCCTAGGCAGTGTGATCAGCAGGCCACCCTCAAGCCAGTACCATTGTTGTGATATGGGAGTGTTTGCTGGATGGGTTTAAAGACACACCGCACCTGTGTCATTTTCTCAGATCTCCTTGGATATGATGACACTTTTGTTTTGTAGTGGTTGGGGTTGAAATGACCTGCTGGCATGTCCTTTCCAGGGTTGGATTTTCTTTCTTGTTGCTGTTTTTTTTAAAGGGAATTACAGATTTGTCATAACATCAAACCTCAAACTTTATGTGCCATCACGTGAGACAGAGCCAATGTAACAAGGATAGAGGGGAAAGCATGGCTCTGCTCAACAAATTTAGGAAGTGAAAAATTAAAAAAAAAATCAGTGTTCCCCTTTGTACACTTACAGAAAAAAAGAAAAACACTCCAAGGCTAATCTTCGGACTTTGGAAGGCACTTCTTCTGTGGTTACGAGGAAGCTGCTCTAAGGCGTGCTTGCTTAGAGAATGTACTTTAACTGCCCTACCAAATGTCTGTCATGTTGAAAGCCTCTTGCACTGTGTTCTCCTGGCAAAAACTTGCTCTTATGGGAGACTCCTTTTATATTCATGTGACTCCTTAGAATTGAATCTAAGGCGATGATCTTAGCAGCACTTTAATTCCTGTCAATTTTATTTTATTTTTTTTTGTTGTTAGTTTCTCTCCTTACTGCAAATGTAAGCTACACTTAAACAAGTGTAAGCACAATAACAACAAAACTTGAGAACCAGGTGTGATGGCTCAGGCCTGTCATCCTGGCTGGGTACTCTGGAGGCTGAGGATCATGGTGTGAAGCCAGCTTAAGCAGAAAAGGTAAAACTGATCTGATTAATCACCAACAGGCTAGGAGGGGAGCTGTGACTCAGGTGGTAGCCTTGAGTGAAAAAGCTAAGGGATGGCACTCAGGCCCTGAGTTCAAGCCCCAATACTATCACGCACACACACAAAGCCTTACTGCTTTTGAGACTATAGAAGTGTGACCGCTGTCACTCTTGCCTACTGTGACTTCTCTAGACTCCAGGGGAGTCTCTAGATCCACACTGCTTAATAGACTTCACACCCCACAGTGTGGAACTAGAGGTCAGGGGTCCCCCCAGCGCCCCACCAGTGTTAGGAGGAGCAGCTGGCCTCACTGCAGTCACCAGACCTGGTCAGTCGCCCTCAGCCATAGCACTTTGTTCGTCTTGTGTTGGAGCACTGAGCTCCACCCTTTTCTGAGAAATACTACAGCCCGAACCTTTGTGGGCTAAAGGTGGTTCTATTTCTTGTTTTTGTATTTTTAATTGTATATCTTTTGTATGATTTTAAAAAAACTATATTTTGTACTTAACCAGATATATTTTTCATCCCAAGTGGAAAATCCTTTGTTTAAAAAAATAAAGTTTTTTTAAATTGATAAATGTTTTCCTTGTTTGTGAACTGGCATTTAAAAAATTATTAGAAGGCTGGGAAGGTGGCTCAGTGGTAGAGTGCTTGCCTTGCATGCATGAGGCCCTGGGTTCAATTCCTCAGCACCACATAAGCAAAAAGAAAAAAAG